TGGAGACAGCTGTAAACAAGCAGGCTTGGGCCTCCATGCCCAAATGATGAGCACAAGTCGGTGAGCGCTGGAGCCAGGGACGTGGGATGGCTCCGCCGGTGCCTGTGGCAAGGGGAAGGTGCCCGGCCCTCCCTCCCAGCCCGCAGGGTTTGCGCAGCGGGGCCGGGCGGCCGTGGGGCCCTCTTTGCTTTGGCGCTGCTGGGCTGCTGGTTTGGCTGAGATGACTCTCCACATCTCCCCTTCCCTAGTGCCTGCCCGTGGGATTGCCCCTCTGTCTCTGAGGCTGCGCAGTCGCAATGTGAAATCGCGTTGCTCCGGCTCCTCTCAGCTACCAAAATGGGGCACGGGAGGGGAAATTGGGCCCTACTGACCAAGCGGTGACCGGCACCAGTTTTTGCCATTTCACCGAGCGCGTCTGCGTCGGGGACAGGAGCCACGCGGCTCCGGCGCCGGGGAGGACAGGAGGCGCCCGCAGCGCCGCGGGACACGCGAGACGCCGCTACCTGCCCCGCTCCGGCTGCCGGCTGCTGCTGCTGCTGCTGGAACGAGGGACTTTCCGAACCACTGATGCACAAAACCGCTAACAGCTCAACTTGGATCCTGACACTTTGGAAGGAGTCCCAAGTTTTCCAAAGCAACCAAGCCTTGGCACAGGTGGTAGGCCGCCATGTTTCCTGGACTTCTCTTCTGCTGGCAGCACCACATGGCTGGGAAATGCCCAGCCAGCTCTAGGAGCCTCCGTTTCTGGTTACTGGCTTTGTGGCTGCTTTCGGAAACAAACCACAGGGGCCTTCTGTGATATTTTGGTGGCTGTTTGCCACCTTAATCCTGTACTGACCAAAGGTTTCTTTGTTCCGAACTTATTTTATTTCATTTTATTTCATTTTATTTTTATTTATTTAATTTCCCCAGAATTGTTTACTTAGCTCCTGAATAGAGATGTGTAAAACTGGCAGCTCTTCCAGACTCCTCTCCAATTTTGGCAGGTGCCAAGTTCTTGGCACCTCTGCGGTCACTGGGGTTTTAAGAAGGCAAATTCTGGTTAGATACATGTTAAAAAAAAAAAAAAAACAGGCTGGGAAGAATGGGGATATTTAAAAGAGAAGAGCATTACGTGCCATTCTACAGAGCCAAATGAATTCATGGAGACTTCTTTTGCTTCCGTTTGGGAAAACCTTGCGCAGAAATGGGGGGGATGCCCACCAGCCTGAAGAAGAGCAGCTTGTGGGGGGACCTCAACGCCTTCAGAGAAGGACCTTTAGCCTTATCTTCCTTTGGTGGTAGCCCCTCTAAAGGGAGAGCAGCTATTTGCTGAAGGCATCACTGCGCGGATGGGGTTTGGCCGGCTCGCGCGAGCGCCGCAGAGTCAGCGCCTTGTTTCTAGGTCACGCTGTTCTTGAGAGATGAAGCGAAAAGAGAAAGCGGGTTAGGAGACGCTGGAAGCACCTCGCAGAGCTGCCTCCCGCCAGCCGGGATGCTGCCGCTCGCCGCCCGGCAAGCTCGTGCCGTGTGTGTTTGCGGAGGACCGGCGCGAGGGAGGGGAAGATCTGCCCCCAAGCACAGCATGGACCCACGGCTCTGCCCCGGCTCCCCTCACTGCTCTCGGAGGCGCTCCCAGCCTTTCCCTTTCCATGCTTCGCTGGAGTCTAATCCAAATTGCAGAAAATCATGCCTCTCTTTATTATTATTATTATTATTATCATTATCATTATTATTTTTTGCTCCTATTCCTTTGAGGCATCTGTTTTCTCTTCCCAACCAGCAGCCTGAACTCCGTTAGGCTGCTAATCCCCTCCACTTCCACTTGTGTTCGCAGCGTCATGTAATAAATACGAGCAGCTTACACGTGTCTTGGGGTTCTCGAGCAAGGAACTCCAGATAGAGCTTCATGGTTCGTACGCACGGGGAGTGCTTCGTTCGCCAGCGGTGGCACTTGTGCAGCAATTTACGATATGCAGCTGTGGGGGAAGGAGCGGAGGTGGATCGTGTATCTGTGCAAAACTCCGGTAGGGGATTGGGGTTGGGGGGATATAAGCCCTCGCATTGAGTTTTAGCCAGAACTCGTAGGCTTATGGAAAGAGTTATAGGATTTAAGGCACCTCGCCCATCCCCAGAGCCTTGTTTACAAATCACATTAATGGCACGACACGTAATTAGGACTTCAGAGACGCCCCGAGCAATTCGGGATGCAGTGACAAGCTATGTCGAATTCCAACGGAGCCTTTCTGTACAAGGCAAATTCTCGCTGTTACGCAGAAGTAATAATTACTATCTACCAAATCAAAAAACAAATAGGAATTCTCCAGGAAGCCTCACCCTTCAGCTATGGCTTTCCCTACCCGCAATGAGAGAAATGCAACCTGTACAGGCTGGCTTTTGTTCCTTTGGCAGCACTGAGAACCATCCTGCTATCTCCTGATGCTCTCGAAACCTTAATGTGGCAAAAGGAAAACAGAGAACAGGGAGGGAAGCTTGTTCCTTCCTCTGCGGCATGTGCCAGCCGAGCGGCGAGCTGCGGATGGCATATTCCCACACTTCCCAATCCAGGTTGTGTGTCCTGGGAGCAGAGACCAGCCCTGGTCTCCCATAGCGAGTGGGGAGGTCCCCACATGGTGCCCGTCAGACTTTTTATGGCTTTTCCCAACTTGTAGGGAACCATGCTCGAAAAGGAAAAAAAGAAAGGATGCCCAAGCCACCTTTGCAGCAGGATTATTCTACATATGCAGACCTTAATTTGCTAGCGCCTTTCCAGCAGCCTCCCGCTGCGCTGGTTTCTCTCTCTTTCTGCTTAGGACTCTATTTTTCTGGTGGTTTTGAATTTCACTACATTGCAAGGAAAAAAAAAAAAAGCCTCTTCTCTTGTTTCTCCAGATCATTCTGGTTCTGTCCTCCTGCTTTGTGTTGAAGGGACAGAGAGAGGAGGCTTTTGCACAGTTGCTCAGGCCGCGTCTTCCCAGAGCTCCCAAAGGAAGCTATTAGGCATTGATGGGATCCCACGGGTCTCCTCCCACCACATGCACAACATCCATTTCCCTCCTTTGGCCTGGGCTCCCAAGCCGTGGTGTATATAGCATGTAGAAAAAAATGATTTATCCTTTTTTCTTTACTTTTTTCTCTCTTTTTCCAGTGGCAGTACAGACAGATCAGTGCAATCCACCCGCTTCTGCCCACTTCTTTTTCTCTTGTACTTAGTAAACTCGTAATTATGTCAAAGGATATGTTTGTTTTGTGTGATCTGCTTTATGTAAGTGTGTTTGGCAACTCTTAAACTTCTATCTGGAGCATCCACATGCTGGAATATTTCCCATTGGAACTGCTGTTGGTATAAGTTAGCAAATAGCATAGGTACCTGGGAGGAGGCATAAGCAAGAAAGACTGGTTTGTACAGCGAGCAAAATTTGTGCCAGGTTAAGGGATCGCAGGAGCGCGTAAAACCTTTTCTACTCTGCTCTGCTCACTGTCAGGGCAGCACCATCCCCTCAAGCAGCCCCACGACAGCCTGGGGGAAAGGACTGGGCTTGTCCGATGAAAGCAAACGCTTCGGAGCAGTCCCACACAGCAAGGCCTGGCAGGAGCGGAGAGCCGATGTCCCCGCTCCTTGCAGAGCAGAGATGGGCGCAGAGGACCCGTCCCCCGTCGCTACAAGGGAGAGCACCACCTTCCCCAGCCTCCGCCGGCCTCAGGGACAAGCCTCGCGCATCTGCTGCCTGTTTTTCCCCCAGAGCCATTAAGTGCCATTACGCAAGCAGGGTTAAAAGGGATTTGAGAATAGGCTCCCTTGCCAGTGTGCTCAGCTGCCTGCAGCACCCCCAGCCTGGCACAGAAACGAGGGTGTCTGCAAACAGCCCGGCAGCCAAGAGCCCCACACGCTTCCCACGGATCCGCACAGGGCAAAGTTGGGCCAAGAGCGGGGCAGCCACAGAGCACCCACACATGTTCCGGGGACTCCTTCTTGCCAAGGCACCAAAGACGTCTCACCGCCTCGATCCCGCCCGCATATTTCTCAGCGCACTCAGATCTTGCCTTAGGGTGCTCAGTGCCGTTTCATTTATGCTCCCTCCACCCTGTCCTATCCTCACACACCGCAAACACCTCAAACACGCACCAAGGCTTGTTGGGCTGCACGCTGGCGCTACCTGCAGCCTCTGCTACTCCGGCCTTACCCCTTCTTATTCCCACTGCCCTGCAGTGACCACGGCTGGAGGAGAAGTGAATCAAGGCGCAGATGCAGGCTCGTTGCCTCACCTACACTCCCACTTCCGTGGTCCTCTTTTCCTTCTAAGGCTGCATCACATCTTTGCACAGAGGCCTGGGTCAGCGCGGCAGTGACATCCCAGAGGCCTCTCCGCATGGCTTATGAAAGCCGAGTTCCCCAGGGATGGGCAGAGAGCGGCCTGGAGACCGGAGCGGGAAGGAAACGGGCTCTCTTGCCGCCTGCTGTCGGAACACTGAACTGAAGGGCAGCGTTTCAGCGCTCCCAACGCCTTTGCCAGCCCCGTCACCCCTCCTGCTGCCGTGGTGCCCTCGAGCAGGGCAGCAGTCCCTCTCCCCACCTCAGCAGCCAGCTCTGACATGCAGGCTGCAGCTTCGGGACAGGCGCATCGCTGCACAGCTGCAGCCTTCAGCACACCCGACACCTCCAGCCCCTCTGCTCAGTCCCAGGATGCTGCTTAAAGAAAACTGTTCGTGTAAGCTCTCCCCTGCCCTACCAGGTCACAGATCCAGCCTGCACTAAGGGAAAAGCCGTGCTTTTGGCCCTGCTGGATAAGCCAGATTTATATTTTAACTCCAAGTCAGAACCTGGGGACAGAACCTGGCAAATAAGCCGGCCTTAGGCAGAGAGCTGCTTTGACAGTCACCAATCCAGGGTCAGGTGACATTTAAGGCAGACACATGCCTGCTCTGAGCTGCACCCTGTTCTGGGGAAATACAGGGGAAGAGCCATCACACCCACACCAATGTCTGATATAAGTAATACAGCAAGCCACATAGGTGCCAACGAGTGTAGCTATAAGTTATTTATTCTGCAAAATAGAGGTATCTTCTATGGAGTTGAACACTGGAATCACAGCATTATGAACCGAGTTGTGGAAACATGATGACAGCAGGTGCCCTCACGCGCATACACCCCCTCTCCCTCACACACACACACACACACACACACAGCCTTTGTACCGGCCCCTACTCTCGCATCATCCAGAAAGGGAACCCTCGCTGCAGCTCAATTCGCAGCAACTCGCAGCGAGGGCCGCATTCAAGAGCCCTTCCCTATTCACAGGGAACGAGGCTGCTCGGGAGAGGCTGCACAGCCCAGGCAATGCGCGAGAGCTGCACGGGCTCCCCGGCGCCGCGGCCAGCACGCCCTGGGCAGGAGTCAGCTCGTGGCAGAACACGCTTGGTGGCTGCAGCTCTCTCCTCCTCGCCTCAGTCTTTGCTCACGGAGCTGAGCGCAGGGTGGCCGCAGGAGGCACCTCCCCACGTTACGTTAGGAGACAGTCAGTGCCCCCTGCTCGCCATGGTCCATGTTCCAAAGCCGGTAGAACTCGGCAAAGTCCACGTAGGGCTCAACGCGCCCGTCCTCGTCGGGCTGGAGTGAGTGCGCGGGGCGGGAGCGGAAGAGACCCCCGTCCGAACTCGAGCTGCTGCTCTGCGTGTGGGTGTTGGTGGACTGCAGGGTCACCGTGGGGCTCTGGCTGTGGAGAGGGAGAGAACAAACGTGAGCATCTTTATTTTTCCCAGCTGATGCTTTGGACATGGACACGTCTACTTTTCCCCCCCCCCGCCACAGACCAAGCTCTCACAGATGAAAGAAGTTGCAGCCCCTTGCTCTGTCAGAACATTAGCTGTGCTCAGCATTGCCTGGAGCTGATGAGTGCCAAAGATATCCATCTCACCTTTAACTGAAGGGCCTTAAGTACAACCAGGCTTCTGAGGAGCAGAGAAAAGGAGGAAACAAGCACGGCATGCACTCTGCTGGCCTCCCCCCACCCTTGCAGGATGATCTTTACGGGAAAAGCTGACAGCAAGAAAAATCTATTCTTGTGTGACCTGCGTTATGGCCACGCACCTCTGGTATGTCAGCTTCAGTTTTTTTCCTGGAGCTACCAGAGCACAACAACCAGAGAGCTTCATCGCTCTGCAGCCTGTACATGCTCCACCCTACTCCGAAGGCTGGACTGAAACCGGAGCCGCTAGCGTGAGCCTGCAAAGTGGATCCAGATAGAATCTGCTTCTAATCTTTATTCTCTCTTCCACCTTTCAGCAAGCCAACTTGTGCAGCACAGCTTCTCTGGCAGCTCTGCAGGTGCCCTGCACTGCCCTTGCTCCTCACTAAAATCTTCCCTCCACACACACAGCCAACATGCTGGGTACCCGAGATCCCAAGGGAAGGGCTGTCACGTTGCCACAGAGCAGGGTATTTACTTAGTGAGGGTGGGGGTGGCTTCATCCAGAGTAGAGCTGCTGTGGGCACCATTGACCATCTGGCCTTGGGAAGGCATGACGAGGGACAGTGTGACACTGGTCTTGCTTGTGCTCTGGGAGCTGGAGTATGGCACAGAGACTGGGTAGACACGGCCTCCTGCGAAGGCAAGAAACACAATTATAAATCCTGTCAAGACATGACTGACTGGGCATGTACAGAGTCAAAGAATGGTCAAAGAGAAGGCTGAAAATCCCAAGGAAAGGGCTTGTACTAAACTGCCTTTCCTAAATGTACTGCATTTTGTCAAGATGTCCCAGGCTCCTGGTCCTGGAAGCAAACAAAACCTCAAAACTTTAACAAGAAAGTGCCTTCCACACTGAATGTCTTTGCTCCTAACAACATCAGCACTGGATCAAGAGACCTCATCCTCCTCCCTCCACTTTGTTTTGTTCCCCTCCCCACTTACCTTGTGTCGGTGTCAGCGTGGGCTGGCTCATCTCGCCCAGGGGGTACCCGAAATTCCTCACAAGCAGCGTCATGTCTTCATGCCGGGGACAGAACTTGGACCGTTCCCCACCGCTGGCAAAAGTGTCGCAGTGGATCCGCTTAACCCGGTCCACCACTGCCTGTGCCACCGCGTCCAGGGACGTCTGCTTGGCAAACTCCGTGGCTATCATGGCTGCAATTTCCTGGGCACGCACAAACAAAAAAAGGGGAGAATGTTTCAGGGAGGATTCAAGGGGAAGGTTTTTCCAGCCATCTGGCCTAGGACTTCTACAGCAACTCATCTGGCTGTTCTGCTTACCAGTCTCAGTGATATTTGCCTTTGTACCTTGAATCAGCCCATTCTCCTCAATGGACTTACTCCTAAAGGACAGAAAGCTGCCTGGAAGAACTGGCTCAGCAAAGCAGCTCTCTCATTTATCACAGCCTAGGACAGGGGAGCACAGATCCAGCCCAGGGGGCACTCATGGGACAGATGCGAAAGAAAGCCTGTGCCAGAGCAGCTGGTGCCACTGGGGTAACAGGAGTGTTTCCCACCTGGGAACGCTCACCTGATTGGCCTGTCCAGGCCCATGAGCTGCCTCCAGAGCTTTGTAGAGCCCTTCCGACATCAGCACCAAGAAACCGGTCACGCCATCCAGCGAGTGCCCTCCGTGGATTTCCGGCTCTGCTATGATGGGTTTAGACTTAGCAGCACTGAAGAGAGACAACGTAAGTAGCACCTAACAGCAGAGTAGTAGGCAAGAGGGGAGGACCATGAAGAGAAAGTGGGACCGAAATCACAAGGTTGAGTTTTTCTAACCTGAGCAGTTCGATATCTGTATAGCCATATTTGACTTTGTAATCTCCAATGCGCCGAGTGCTCTCCTGCCCACGAATAGTTCCCACTTGTTTTATTTTCCCTGCGTCCAAGCCTGCCAGATTGAAGGAAAAGAAAAAAAAGAAAAAAAGTTCATTGACACTTTGGGAAGCTTACAATATTTCTTGTGGTTATATATACAGTCATATACATTGAGGAATGAGGAAAGAAATATCCACAGCTAAAGAGAACGGCAAGACAAAGTCAGAATCAAAGATTCATTAAGAGCCCAACAGGAAGGACAGGAAGAACAGTTTGCTCTGTTCAGGGGGGCACCTTCTCATTAGTTGTGACCTGAGAGGGAGAAGGAGAGATGCACATAGCCCGACCTACCCACCCTAAATGCAATGGCTGGTTCTGAGACAAAGCCCATGTCCTAGCCCAGGGCCACCAGTGGCAGCTGGCCTGGACACACGCTTTTCACTGAAAAGGCAGTGGAGCATCTGTGCCTGCCAGCTCCACACTTTGTGATAGGAGAAGGAGAGCCAGACTGGGAGGATAGAAAATATGTGAAGGATTCTGCTCCATTTCTTTTTTACCTGCTATTGAACCCTGCTCCTAACCCCTATCTAACATAATTTCCCTACTAAGCTCTTCTTTTTTTTCCTCTCCCCAAGAGTTATCTATAAAAGCTCAAAAAATTGCCAAATGCTCAAATTAAGTATGGCCTACTCCTAAAATCTAAGACATTGAGCAAATAAGTATTTGCCTTAAAAAAGTTTAAGGTAACATGCCTCTGCTTCAGCAAATAACTCCATGTTGGCAGGGATTAGGAAGGCACCCCCCTGGAAAGAGATTCTACCTGGAACCATGTGGGAGCAGCTACTATTTAAGATAGTACTTGGAACAGACAAGGCACTTACCTGGTCTGTTCTGGCAATTCCTCCCTCCTCACACCTACAGCTAACAGGTAGAAAACGTTTTGAGATTTTATCTAGACCTGACTCCTCAGCACAAGGTAAAGGCAGGGGTCCAATTGAAACTCTCCCTCTGAGTCAAGTCAACCTCAGCGCACAGCTGGCTCCACACCTACCGCAGCAGTGAGACACCTCTGCCACGTGCTGCAACCCAAGCCTGACTCACGCGCCCGGCCTGGCTCCTTTGCGGGGTCACGGTGGGGGACAGGTCACTGAGGGCATGGGGGGCTCCCTGGCTGCACCACGGCTCCCTCCTGCGGCCTCAGTGTGCTGGCAACACAGGCATGACCCACTCCTCGCTCCCCTCACGGAGGCAGCGCAGGCTGCAGCACGACATGCGTGACCCTCAGCGCCTCCCACGGCTTCCCTGCAGCTCAGCCCTACAGCCACCTCCTCTGGGCCCCAGCAAAGCCTGTGCTCGCTGGCTGACTCCACCAGCTGCTAGGACCCTGTCAGGTTAAGAAGGTGGGTAGATGGAGCAGACTGCTCTTCTGCTACGGGCCACAACTCAACTCTACACGCTTACTTGGGGAGTGGAAAGGCAGCTGAAGGCTCTCTATTTCACATCACTACCACAAGATTATGGGGGAAAAAAAAAAGGAGGAGAAAACCCAAAGGGAAATGGAATGGAAGATAAGGTTTTGCAGCAGAAAATTACCGCATCAACAGCCTTATTAGATAAGAATATATTTACTAGGTAAGGATAATGAAGGATGCCACATTAGCCCTACCCTACCCAGGACATAAGCATCTCAAAGAGAATAATTTAGTATTAACAACCACACAAACAAATTGGGCTACTTCTAAACAAAGAAAGAAAACACACAGTAAAGTAAAAGGAAAGCGGCCTGAAGCAAAATGTCTGTATTGGACAGACCTCAATAGTTACTGATGTGACACTAGTAAACAGCAGCGTTTGTCCTGGTTCTCTCTGAAATGCAGCTTTTTTTTTTTTTTTTTGAACACTTTTCACAAAGGCATATTGAAAGACACCATCCCCAGGGTGAGGCATTAGGCAGAACTTAACCCAGCATAACTGTGGTTTGCCTCCACAGGGGCAGTCACACACAGTCCTTCCTGCCTCTACCCTCTGGCCAGGTGCTTTGGCTCCTGCCTTCAAACAGACTCTAGCTCTCGCCCAGCTGGAGGCCAAATCAGTTTCGATTTGGCAGCTGGACACAAAACTAATTCTTAAAATGTGGGGGGGAAAAAAATGGATAGTTTTCTGCTGGTTCAGGGAGCTGAGCTGACTCACTCTATAACCTCACAGTGGCTAAATTTACAGGAAAAAAAATAGGGTGGTAAACTTGTAATTTGAAACTGCAACCCATGAGGAGCTTCTTTTTGTGGCCAGTTTATTGTTTCCAGTGGCTTGAGTCATTCTGGTAACACAGATAAACTGGGCAACGAGATCTCAGATAAGAGCACGAAATCCAACACTCACCCAGCTGGGAAAAGCGGAAAAGTTCATCCTCATTCTCTGTCGTATGGTCCACGTTGAGCTGAGTCACCTGCAGCCCGTCCACTGTGGACTTGCACAGCAGTGCCCGGTTCGTGCCTGCAGCAGAAGCAGCGATATGAGGTGCCAAATAGTTCTGCCATCAAGATGCAGAACATATCCCAGTGACAAGGAGAAGTGGAAAAGGAGAATAAGGAAGGATAAAGATAAAGGCTTGTGTACTGTTTCTCCATAATCTCCTAAAAGGAGCCTTGCTCACAGCATCACAGGCCTGCTAGGTGGTTCTTCATCCAGGCTGGAGCTGTCCCTCAAAATAAGGCTTCCCACTTGTCACTGAACCTGCTACTGCCTCACTGCTCATTTTTCCTCTCTTCTTTGGACATGTATGTTATACGGGCAAATATTTACAGAGATAGAGACCAAATTTCATGTCTAAAGATCCAAAATCTGCTTCCCCACCCCCCAAAGTTCAAATTTCTTTAAGTCCATCCTCAGAAAGGCCGAGACTTGAAGGGCTGACACAGAACAACTCACCCACATTGGCGATGTAGAGCTTGTTGTTGAGAACGACAGCCACAATCGCCATGGCTCCTCCGGAGATCTCCTGCTCTACAACCTTCAATCTCTCCACAATCTTCTGGTATTGAGGAGGCAGCTGGTGGTGAGGGACACCCTGAAAGCCGAGATACCAGGAGAAGCTTAAACGCACGATCCACAACACAGAAACCACAGATGGTTTCCAAATGCTGCAGGGAGAGAACTGTCGGTCTTGCCATGGGGCTGAGGCAAAGAAACAACAAATAACACAGCTCTGATCAGATGAACGGAACCTGTCACTCCAGAATCTTAACAGCAGCATCCACATCTGCCCAGACACTGCACAAACGTGAGGCCCTGCGGACTGTGCCACATGGCTTGTTCTGGAAGAGCCACAGGCATGGTGGGAACTCTCATCTCTGTGATACATTCAGTTCTTTACCCCTCTTCTGAGGGGACTAATAATGAGTCTACATAGGGCCAGTAAGAACACACTGGGAACTGGACTAAGACACTTGCTTCATTTCATGCAGACCTCTGGGAGAGAACTAAAAAGTAAGAATTTCTCAGCTACAGCCTCCCTCGGACCAGACTGACTAATGTTTCCAAGACTTATCCAGAAATTTGGAGGAAGGGAGCTCCCACCATCTCTGTTTCGGAGACTGTAAGGCTACATTACCTCTGGTAGTTGAGACTGCAGGCTGGCTTTCTCTGCCAAAGCATCATCAATGGACTCCAAGAAACTCCTTTCTACCACATCAAAAGCCTAGAAGAGTCCATAAGAGAGACTGAGTTGTTATCTCTCATCTGCAGAACTTTCAAGCTACCTACCGCCACACCAAAACTGGCTCACAAGAATGGTTGATTGCTGTATAGACATTCAAGATCACTGCAACATACCTAAGCACAATTATTTTAATGCAACTAATTAGCAACTTGTAAAAACAATCTGCAATACACACAACAGGAGATACACGTTACGTTCAGAGTGATGTCAGAGAGCTGTCTGTTTCTGTGCATTGATTTTAAGAACTTAGCTATTATCACTCCAGAAGGTACACTCACAAATCCATCTCTCCACACATTAGGTATTCACTTTTAGTCACAGTCATCTCCTTCACAGGTTGACTTGTCCCTGTGTGTCCAGGGAAGGCTGCCTGCAGCTTCCCACAATGCTCTCAGCAGTGGGGGACAGATGGGTACGAGGTGGGAGTGAAACAAAGCAGTGCAGCTGCTCAGGATGAGTGCTGCCTGCTATCTCAGCTATTGGCAGATGTTCCCAATCCTCCAGAAACCAGCTGCTCTCCCCTGATGGCAAAACTGAGGAGGTGGGTATTGTGGGAAGCAGAGGCTGCTCCCAGCCAAATCTTATTTACCTGCAGCAGAACTCGGCGCACGTCAGCATCACTGTGATCTGCATGTAGCTGGCCCAAGAGCAGTTCTGCCGAGAGCCTTTGACCCACAAAGTTGGTGACTCGGTTGCCATCGTAGCCATTGAAGACACCATAGAGGTAGCAGTTGTTCTCGCTCCTGTCAGAGAGGGCAGAAGCAAAGAGGTCACAGATGTCCGTGACACAAGAAGAAGGCAGATGTAACAAGTTTCTGCAGACAACTCCTGCACACTCTGACCCCACCCTGTACTTTCACGTCCTACTGAGGCAAGCCAAACACTGCTCTTACCTGCCCCCGTGTCCTGTGTGCACCCCACTCACCTGAACTTTAACCAATTATCTTCCAAGGGGTGAGCTTCTGTGCCCTTGCCATCTGCACTGTAGGAACGGTTTGGAGCGGAGCCCACCCCCGAGAGATGGCAGGATGGCAGGTCATCTGTCCAACTGGGCTGCTGCTCCTGGGAGGCAGGAAAAGAAAAGAATCCATGTAAATGCTAAGCAGAAAAAAAGGAAAGAAACCACACAAACGCCAAGCAAACTGCAGCCAGGGCTCTGGTTCAGCAATGGCTCACAGGGCCATCCCCACCTTCTTCTCAGCCCTAAGGGTGGCACAGCACCCCAGCCGGTCACTTCATACTCCCTGCCGTGGCACTGCATTGCCTAGCTCTTCCCTTCCCTCCGGAGCTGAGCTCTGCCTGCACCTCCCATCTCTTGCTAACAAGAGAACCAGACGCACAGTTTGCACCCGGGTTTTTCGCTCGATATGGCACAGCCCTAGCGAGCCCCTGGGGCCCCTGACTGGCCCACCGCAGGGAACGCCATGGCTCCCGGCTGGACGCAGAATCCCACCGGGAGAGGAGCCGTGTCCCTGCAGACACCCACGGGACAGCGCCGGGCTCCCTGCCACACCC